GCATATATAGAACGTACCGGCGTTTATTGAGGGATCAGCTGATTATTATTCAGCTACTGGCTTTTATTTTCTTCTACTCCCTCTCTTGCAGGAAGGCTGCATACAAATACAGCAATCGATGGAGAGGAGATGTTCTTCCTTTATGAGATTAATTACAAACATAGGGATGCTGTGTCTAGCCCACGTGTATGATTGATCTTGTAGGAGGAAATGCAATAGGAAACTAATGCTTCCTTTTATCCAGTAAGCAAAGTTCAGAGATGTTTACATTCTGCTAGGTAAGCACAGCTGTCTAAAGACGTGAAGACGGATGGACTGTCCTGTCAGCACAAATTCATGCAGAGGTAACAGACTACGCTGTCTCTGCGGACCTCTCTCCGGCCAGGAGGCTGTAAGGCCAGAATCACTAATTTAGCAAACAGCTTAATTGTTTCACATTTTAATTAGCGGGGAGATCCAGACAGAGCTGATGCGCTGCAAGAGGCAGCAAAGGGAAAGTGTTTGGTGGGCAGTGCTGGTGAGGCCGTGGGGCGAGGACGAAGGCTCCCGGTGATGTGGAGCGTGGGGCAGCCATGGCAGGGTAGCTTTTCAGAAATTGCAAGGGTTTTTGCTTTAAAACCTGGCTGGCATAAGAAGCAATCTGTGTATTTACTCTCAGTAGCTCACAGCGTGTAACTGGAAGCATCTGCAAAAAGTGCAGTGCTTAGCTGCCCTTGTTTCTATTTGTATATAAATATAATCTTACAAGCCCTGGATTTGGCTCAGGGTCCTTCTGAAAGGTTCGTTTTGTTCTTGGGCATGGGCTGGCACTTGAATTTAGGGTGAGAAACAGTGTCAGAGGTGACGAATCCAGCATAGTGACTCAGCCTTCTTCCTCACAGTATTTTAAATAATGGATGTGCTACTGCTGCTATTTAACTCCTGCCAGAGCTGCTGAAATACATAGTGTGTTTAAAATACCGATACAACATTGAATCTCTGCTCAGGCAGAGGAGGAGGGATTGGTTTGCTCAAAAGAAAAAGAAATCAGCAGGAGGAGGAGGACGATGAGGAGGCGGGAGCCCAAGCCATAGTATCTTGTAACAGTGTAAAAATGCCCTTCACCTGAGGCACTAAGCAGTCAGCTCTGGCAGTGTGTTGACGGAGAATCCTGAAATCGATACTGCAGTCTGCGTTATATTTATACAAGCATATGCATGCACTGCACTGATGACGAGGGAGAGAAAGGGCTGTTCCCTGCATTAAAATATTTAGTGTAATAAATACAGCCTGGCGAGCACCAGAGGAAGTAGGGATCCCTTTGTTCACATCTCGCCACTTAGAGCTGGGTAAGCAAGTCTTGTGGAGTTAAGCTCAGAATTTACTTACCCTTTTATTCTCTGTCTAGAGGTCTTGAGCAGGATGCTCTGCTGATGCCAGAATTAACAAGCCATGCTGGATCTCTGCTGCCTTTGGCCAACGTCGAGGATTTAAGGGGTCTTTTCTTTTTCTTCATTCTATCCATGCAAATCCTGCCTGATAAACATGGATCCTTTGGTGTTTAGCAGTCAGTTTGCTAGGCTTGACAAAGGTTATTGCAATAATTGATGTTCCTCTTCTAATAATTAATGTTAATGAGTCCACTAAACAGTAAACAAGACAACAAAGAACTGTTAATGAGACAGTCTTTACTCATTTGTTTAATCTTCTAGTAAGATAATGGGCGATAAATATATCGCTATTCAGCCATCTTCAAGTCCTTAATGCGTGGAGAGTGTTTTAAAAAGAGATTTGAGCTGATTTTTTACACTTGCATTTAGTAAATTCAGCTGACTGGGTAGGTGGGGCTCCTGAAAGAATTGGGAGACCTATATAATTAAGTGCCTTGACATTCTGCCTCTGAAGGACATTGGCGGATATCCAAATGCTATGTTCTGCTCTCAAACCATTTAATTGAAACCATACAAAGGGGGGGGGGGGGG